GCACCGGAGGGAGCTCCGGCGCGGGCGAGGGGGGCGGGGAGAGCTGGGGGCAGGGAGAGGGAGACAGGGAGGAGGGCGGTCCGAGATGGAGAGAGGTGCCAGCGGAGAAACAGCCAGAGACCGAGGACGGAGGGCGGAGGCCAGGCTCAGGCGCACCCAGAGAGAGAAGTGGGGAGAGAACCTGCAGAAAGATACTTCGAACATAAACGGAGGCCCCCAGGGGTGCGGCCCGCGGGGACAGGGTGGCAGGGGTGCTGGGCAGGCAGCAGGGCAGGCCTGGGGGCTGGGGACAGCCTGAGGTGGGGTTCTGGGGCCAGGGGCAGGCCTGGCCCTGCGTGTTTGGTGCCTGTTCTGAGGCATCTCCAGGATGCAGCCCGGGGGAACCTGCTTGTCTGCAGGCCCCTGACCCACCTGCCTGCCACACAGGCTCACCACGCAGGCCCCCAAGCCAGGCTCCTCCCTGCCTGGCCCCGTGGTGCGGCCGGGAGCGCTGGCCTCCAGGGCCCCTCAGCCTGGCCTGAGGTTGCTCGGCAGATCTGCTCAGACCACCCTCCCTTAAGGCCCCTGGAGAGGGCCATTTCCACCTGGGCCCCTCTCAGTGGAGACACTCAAAGTCTGTCCCCAGAGCACTGCCCTCCAATATCTTAAAGGGCTGTCCTGGTGTTTACGTGTGCTCGGTGCTCCCCAGGGACGAAGAGTTGCCAATGCAGTAATCTGCTCCAGGAGTCCCAGGCTGTGGCCCCTCAGCCTCCCTCGCTCTAGGTCCTGGTGGGGGTAGAGTTTCAAGCCGCAGATGGCCCCATTCTGTAGGGGGGGGCGGCCTGGGGACCCTGGCCAGACCAAGGTAATGGCCAGGGGGTTTCAAGGAGAGGAATGGGGAAGACCTGTGTTGTGTGGAGACCAAGGCTATGGGGCTCCTGGGACCTGCGTCCTGACAGGTCACGTTCCCATCATCACGTGGCTGGTGGCTGCTCCCATCTGCCTGGACCCTGAGGACAGGCATGTCGCTCTCTGTAACCACAGGCTCTGGGAGGAGGTGGGGCAGGGTCTCAGGAAATGTGTTGAGTGGGTGAGTGCAGAGGCCCAGTGCCCAGCACTCCCCACTGGGGGGTGCAGTGGGGAGCCCCCACGGGTCAGGAAGTGAAGCGGGGCCAGAGCAGTGGTTAGGGCCCAGCAGGTCTCCCAGGCCAGTGAGAGGGTCTCTCAGGGAAGGTTGGGCCCAGCCCAGGGCTGTCCCGGGTCTGCCCCACCCTCAGACTCACAGACCGGGCAGATGACCCCACACTTCCCAGTGCTGCTGATACCATCAGACAGAAGCCAGGGAGTAAAAATAAACGCCTGGCGAGAGAGCGAGGCCACGCCTGCCCCCAGCTGCTCTCTATATTTAATGCATCCCCTCCGGCCTGAAGGTTACTTGGGATTTGGGAGCCACTGGGACTGGCCGAGGTGGGGATGGGCCAGAAAGGGGGCAGGAGGCCAGGGTCCCCGGGACACCCGGTCCAGCTTCCCCTGGGAGACCCCAGCATCAGCACCCTCGTGCCTGTAGCCTCAAAAGGCATTTGTCAGACACCCTCACACAAAGGGCTGAGCCCCACCCTCTCATCCGGCTCCCTGGCAGCTGGCGGCACCAAATTGCCCTGTGGTGCCGGTGCTGGGGCTGGCCGGGCCCGTGGCCTGCTGCGTCCAGAGCAGTCGCCGCTGCTGGTGGAATGCAGTGTCCTCCCGAGGGCCTGCACACTGACCTGGGGAGGGGTGTCAGGTGGTTTCTTCAAAGGGCCTCCAACTCACAGCGGCCCGCCTGCAGCTGGGCTGCCCTGCAGACCCAGGGAACCAGGTGACTCAGCCATCTGGAGATACTCGGCACACGGATTTTGAGGCTACGTAAGCTAGATACTCCATAACAACACGCCAACCATGCAGGACAGCCCGACCACCACCCAGCACCAAAGAGCTACTGCACAGCCACTAACCCTCGGCGGCGCTTAGTGGCCATAACTAGGGGTCAGTACTGAGTAACTGCTAGATACCACACAACCTGTGCACAGCCACGGTCACTCCCCGAGTGCTGTGCGGGGCTGGCTGACCACCCACGGACCAAGGGCCAGCTGGGCACAAGGAAGCAACGCACAGTGCCCAGGGCCGCAGAGCCAGGACGGCGGAGTTTGCAGTGTGCTCAGAAGGCCTGAGCCAGAGCTCAGCCAGGCCCCGCCGAGCTGCCCGCCCTCACACTCCCTTCTCTCACACAGCAGCCTCTGGTCCCCTGTGGTGACCCTGTAGCAGCCAGCAGTTGAGGACTTTAGCCAGCCAGGCTGGTGCAGCCTCACAGCATACTTTCAGGGGCCGGAGGAAGGGGTACAGGCCCCGCCCCCTCCCTTGGCCCCCAGGCCCAGCCAATGGGAAGTTTGGGAGACACAGGCACCCCCTCTTTGGCTGGCTGGGGTTTCAAGCCTGGGAAAGAAGATCCTGCTAAAATTAACGGTTCTCAAGCTGTCAGGCCTGGAAATAAACACATCTCCCATTGGCTGCCGGTGATGTCACTGCCGGCTAACAATAACCTGCGGATGCAGAAGGCAGCCCCTGGGCCTGGGCCGTCCTGTGGGGCCGGGACAGCAGGGGGGGCTGCCACGCAGATGACTGTCACTAGGCTGAGACTGGGCAGGGCAGGGGCAGGGCTGAGCTTAACTCTGGCCTCGGGTGTCTCAGAATGACCTCAAGCCCTGGCCTTGGGTCATAGGCTGCCCTCTGTCCCCAGGACATCAGTGTGCACCCTCTTGTGTAGAGTCAGTCAGTCTCCCAGACTACCTGGGCAGCAGGACCCTTGGGGACAAGGCCCCCACCCCGTCCTCTGGGCCCAGCACCCAGGAAACTGAGCTGTCTGCAAGGTGCAAATTAAGTGGTCTCCATGGTACACAAAAGCAAGGTCATGGCCCCTAAATTAGAGGAGGGGAAGGCAGGGGGCAGGGACAGGGATGAGGGGACAGGCTAGCCATATGCACACCAGCTAGACCCCACGCAAGCCAAGGGCCCCACAAGCCAGCCAAGTGAAACAGGAGGAGGGGTGATTTACTGGACAATCTAGGCCCCCAAACACTCCACCCTACCACTCTCTGGGTCTGGGAGGGCACCAGGCCAGCCTGAATCTGCCAGGGAAGCCCACACCCTCAGGAGGAGGAGGGAAGCCTGGCCTGCCCGCTTCCTTCCCAGGGGCACTTGGGCCATAGGAGCTATCTGGGTCCCCTGTGCCTGCAGCACAGTGAAGGAGGGAGCCGTTGCCATAGTGAAGGCGCAGGCAGCTCCACAGGCTCCTCTCTCCCCTGCCCAAGGCCTTCACTCCCCAGGAGCCAGGGTGGCACGTGTGTGCAGCAGGCGCCCACACTAGAGCTTGGCCTCTGCCCTGCACAAGCCCAGTGCCCACCTGCTCCAGGGGAGGGGTCTGGCGGCCATAGAATAGAGTGGCAGGGGCCCCACACACCATCCTACCCACACAGGCTGGGGGCAG